AGCACGATATTGTCCGCTTTGGGCCCCGACCACACCCTCATGGTTTTGTTTCTGGGAACTCACGAGCAACTTCCTAGTGGGTCACCCATCATGGGATAACTCTTGCCTCGTTTAACTTCGGAGTTCCAATGAAACCCGAAGCCAGTAAGCTCCCAAAAGGCCTCGTGGTTTGTAGACATAGGAATATACATATAAGGCTTATAAGATCCACTCCCTTGGGCTATGTGGGCTATTACAATCCACCCCCCTTAAGGGCCCGACGTCCTCGTCCGCACACTTCTAGTCAGGGATTGGCTCTGATACCAAATTGTCACATCTTGGCCCGGGCCCCCACCACATCCCGGGCTCAACTCCACTGTAGCACAATATTGTCCGCTTTGGGCCCCGACCACGCCCTCATGATTTTGTTTCTGGGAACTCACACAAGAACTTCCCAGTGAGTCACCCATCATGGGATTGCTCTTGCACGAACTCGCTTAACTTCGGAGTTCCGATGGAACCCGAAGCCATTGAACTCCCAAAACACCTCGTGCTAGGTAGAGATGAGAATATATATATATATAAGGCTTACAGGATCATCACCCCTAGGCGAAATAGGATCTTACAATCCACCCCCTTAGGGGTTCGACATCCTCGTCGATACACTTCCGGCCAGGGATTGGCTCTTATACCAAATTATCATATTTCAACCCGGGCCACCACCACATCTCAGGCTCGACTCCATCATAGCACGATATTGTCTGCATTAGGCCTCGACCACACCCTCATGGTTTTGTTTCTAGGAACTCACGAGCAACTTCCTAGTGGGTCACCCATCATGGGATTGACCTCGCCCCAACTGGCTTAACTTTGGAGTTCCGATGGAACTCGAAGCCAGTAAGCTCCCAAAAGGCCTTGTGCTAGGTAGAGATGGGAATGTACATATAAGGCATACAGGATCCACTCCCCTAGGCTATGTAGGCTATTACAATCCACCCCCTTAGGGGCCCAACGTCATCGTCAACACACTTCTAGCCAGAGATTGGCTCTGATACCAAATTGTCACATCCCAGCCCGGGCCCCCACCACATCCCGGGCTCAACTCCGCCGTAGTACGATATTGTTCACTTTGGGCCCTGACCACACCCTCACGGTTTTATTTCTGGGAACTCACATGAAAACTTCCCAATGGGTCACCCATCATAGGATTGCTCTTGCGCGAACTCGCTTAACTTCAGAGTTCCGATGGAACCTGAAGCCAGTGAGCTCTTAAAAGGCCTCATGCTAGGTAAAGATGAGAATATACATATAAGGCTTACAAGATCCACTCCCCTGGGCGATGTGGGATGTTACAATCCACCCCTTTAGAGGCTCGACGTCCTCGTCGGCACACGTTCGGTCTAGGATTGGCTTTGATACCAAATTGTCACATCCTAGCCTAGGCCCCCACCACATCCTAGGCTCGACTTTGCCGTAGCACGATGTTGTCCACTTTGGGCCCTAACCAAGCCCTCACGGTTTTGTTTCTAGGAACTCACACGAGAACTTCCCAATGGGTCACCCATCCTAAGATTGCTCTCGCGCGAACTCGCTTAACTTCAGAGTTCCTACGGAACCCGAAGCCAATGAGCTCCCAAAAAGCCTCGTGCTAGGTAAAGATGGGAATATACATATAAGGCTTAGAGGATCCACTCCCCTAGGCCATGTGGGATGTTACAATCCATCCCCCTTAAGGGCCCGACATCCTCGTCGGCACACTTCCGGGCCGGGATGTGACAATTTGGCATCAGAGCCAATCCATGGCAGAAAGTGTGTCGACGAGGACGTCGGGCCCCTAGGGGGGTGGATTGTAACATCGCACATCGCCCAGTGGAGTGGATCCTCTAAGCCTTATATATATATTCCTATCTCTACCTAACACAAGGCCTTTTGGGAGCTCACTTACTTCGGGTTCCGTAGGAACTCCAAAGTTAAGCAAGATCGCAGCGAGAGCAATCCTAGGATAGGTGGCCTACTAGGAAGTTCTCATGTGAGTTCCCATAAACAAAACCGTGAGGGCGTGGTCGGGGTCCAAAGCAGACAATATCATGATATGGTGGACTCAAGCCTAGGATGTGGTGGGGGACTGGGTCGGGATGTGACAATTTGGTATCAGAGCCAATTCCTGGCAGGAAGTGGAATTGCTCTTGCGCGAACTCACTTAACTTCTGAGTTCCTACGGAACCCAAAGCGAGTGAGCTCCCGAAAGGCCTCATGCTAATTGGAGGTGGGCATGTACATATAAGGCATAGAGGATCCACTCCCTGGGGCGATGTGGGATGTTATAATCCACCCTCTTAGGGAGTGACTCTAATACGAAATTGTCGCATCCTGACCCGGGCTCAACTCCGTCGTAGTACAATATTGTCCACTTTGGGCCCTGACAACGCTTTCACGGTTTTGTTTCTGGGAACTCACGTGAGAAAAACTTCCCAATAGGTCACCCATCCTTGGAATGCTCTAGCCCCATAGTCTCTTAACTTCGGAGTTCCTATAGAACTTGAAGCCAGTGGGCTCCGAAAAACAAACGTGCTAGGTAGAGATGAGAATGTACATATAAGGCTTATAGGATTCACTCCCCTAGGCAATGTGGGATGTTACATCAAGGGATCACCCGGAAAATCGATTCTACATCGAGAACTGGTCCATTCATTATGCCGAAGCTATAATAATGTTTTGAGAGCTCGGTCATCATTCTTTTGCTAAAGGCAACACAACTTTTTGAAGGCCTTGCCATTTAATATCGTTAAGTTAGAGCTAGCACAACTTTTTGAAATCCCAATTTAAGGAGGCAAGCCCAGTAAATTGGGCTCAGGACGTGTCAGGGGAACATCCTACTCTTATACCATGATAAATTTTCATGCCCAACATGGTCCATCACTAACATCAGCGATATTGTACGCACTTAACCACCTATTACTAGGTGCACGTATTATCACACAAGGTCTTAGTGATATTATAATGTAAACTTCTATATATTAATTGTATATTATTGTGTCATAATTCCGATTTGGGATCCTATTCTCCAACAATGTGGACACACTTTCTTGTAGTTCTCACTTCATAACTTTTTTAAAAGGCAAAATCGCGAAAATGGTCCCTGAGATTTGTATAACACATCACTTTGGTCCCTGAGATTTCAAATCAATAGAAATCGTCCCTGAGATTGTCCACCATGCATCATTTTGGTCCTTCTGCTAAAACCTCTGTTAAGTGTCCCGGAGCTTTTGGCTAGAAGTTTGGGTAATTTTCAAAGCTTCGTAACTCAATCATTTCTTAACCCAATTTGACCCATAATATATCAAAATGAAGATAGGAAAGTGTAGAATAGGATTATACCTATCTGGAAGCCCAATGGTTGCCAGAGATGGCTGGAAAATAGCCTCAAAGTTGACTGGTCTGAGGGAAAACTGGAAAACTCGTCGAAAACTGGGTAAACTTTAAATGTTCATAACTTCTTCAATACTCAACGAAATCAAGTGATTCAAAAATAAAAATCATATTTCTTGACGAGATGAAGATAATGGTGCCTTTTTCAGCAGCTAACACGTCGTGGTTTGGCTGAAAAATGACTCAAAATGGCTGTCTTGGTCTCGAGTTAGTCATCACTTAAAGGTACCATTATCTTATTCTCGTTGAGAAGTATGATTTTTGTTTTTGAATCACTTGATTTCGTTGAGTATTGAAGAAGTTATGAATGTTTAAAGTTTACCCAGTTTCAGGCAAGTTTTCCAGTTTTCCCTCGGACCAGTCAACTTTGAGGCTATTTTCCGACCATCTCCGACAACCATTGGGCTTCCAAATAGGTATAATCTTATTCTACACTTTCCTATCTTCATTTTGATATATTATGGGTCAAATTTAGTTAAGAAACGATTGAGTTACGAAGCTTTGAAAATTGTCCAAACTTCTGGCCAATAGCTCTGGGACACTTAATGGAGTTTTTAAAGGAATGACCAAAATGATGGATGGTGGACAATCTCAGTGACCACTTCTATTGATTTGAAATCTTAGGGACCAAAATGAGGAGTTATGCAAACTGTCTATTTTTCAATTCATCCTTCATTGGTCATCCTTACAAAAAAATTAGACAAATAAAAAACCATCAAGATATTGAGGGAATATCTAAAATATAGACCGTAGAGATGATATTTAAGGGAAGATCTAAAAGATACACAATTGGATCACTAAAATAACTTACAGAATGCATCCTAAAAAAGTGTGTTTAAAAACGCATGTCCGATCCTTACCCTATATGTATACACACACATATACAGACATATATTGAAGATGCTTTTAGACAATTACTTTTGAATACGTATTGCATAGCAACTGTTGGATATCCTGATAGACATATTACTGTTCGCCCACCATTTAGTAAAAATGGTAATCATTCATATATTGTTGGAGAACAGAATTCCACATGAAAAATATAGTAAAATAATATATAGCTTATATATGGGAGATTCACTTATAATATCCCTGTGACTTTTTGTGATAAAATCTTGCACCTAACATTATGTAGTGAAGTTGGATACAATATCCATGATATTAGTCGTAAAACATATATTTTTTGGGGAACTGTTATTAGCAGTCCAAAATCTCATTCTACACTTCTCATAAATGTATTTTTCTTTCTAATTATAGCGCAAAGTGAGATTTTTGAAGTGCCAATAATAACTTTCATTTTTTAATATATGTAATTTTCTCTTTCCCTTCTCTAGGGGAGGATACATGCCAAAATTATTGTCTATATTTAGTAGCCTGCAACTTGCAACGCCGTAATTTTGAAATAAAGACAAGGAGCATTGGAACCAAAAGTGTTATGTTTTTTGGAAAATTACACAAAATTACCTTAATTATAGGTAGAACCACAATCTCATACTTCTTATTTTAAACATTGTAATATGTATCTCAACTTATGAATTCGTTGTAATTTCAAACATCAGGTAAATTTTCTATCAACTTAAAGGATGACATGGCAAGAGTGAGACCCACTTGTTCCTTTACGGAAATAAAAAATTAATTTTTTATTTAACAAGTATTAATAAATCAATTTTTGTTCAACAATATATACTTTTTGTCTCCTATTTTCTTGTCTTTCTTTCCTTCTCCCTGGACTTCTTCAATTTGCTCAAAACAGCAGCAATCAAATCCATCTCCGCCACATCAGCAATCAAATCCACCATGAGGTAGCCAGTCCGCAGCAGGAGCAAAATTGACAGCTTCTGCACAACTCAAACCAAGATTAAAGCCTCCATGGTAAGATCTGGGGAAGGTGATGACAAAATTCCTAGGCTCATGTAGCACGCTATACATAAGAACTCCATTCTCTTGCAAAACAAATGGATTTAACAAGGTAAATAAGCTGAAAAAGTATATCGGATTGTGCATAAAACAGATCAGGGAGACTATTGCGCATCACCTTCTCAAATACACTGGCTTCACTACCAAGGACATTTTGACAAAGCCCAGACTTGATTTCTTTGAATCAACCCTGTTTGTAGCGTCATGTTCAGAGAATCTGGAGCTTGATGGTATGCCCAGATCAGATCTGGAGCCTTATGTGCTCCGCTCGAACACGGTGGACTGGCAGAGGACTTGGTGAAGGTTGTGGTGGTGGGGGCGGGACGTTTTGGTGTGGATGGGGCTTTGGAGTGCGAGTAAAGAGGAGGATGGCAAGAAGGAGGTGATGGTTCTGGGGTGGTGACTGCAGCAAGGCCGATCTGGGAAGACAAATCCTAGCCAATCGTCGGCAAGGCCGCGGAGGTTGAGGTTCTCGAGGATGAGTCGGGAGACTCAGTTGAATGATAGGAGAGGTTCAGAATCTGGATTTCAAGAGACGTGAAGAGAAGAAAAAAGAAGCTTGTTAGGAGAAGAGTGGCCACGGCGGCCACGGCTGCTATTGTTTCTCTGCAAGTTACAGTAGAGAGAGCAAGTGAGGGAGACAATGAGAGCTGTGAGAGAAAACGGAGGAAAAAAATATTGTTAAATAAAAATTAGTAATTTAAAAGAAATTAATAATTATTAATAAAAAATAATATTTTTATTCCAATCAGGAAATGAGTGCGTCTCACTTCTATCACATCATCATTTAACAGTCAAATTAACAAAAAATTTAACGGAGGTCTGATATTGCAACGAATTCATAAGTTAAGATATGACATTGCAATGTTTAAAATATGAGGTATAAGATTGTGGTTCGACCCATAATTGAGGTAGTTTTGTATAATTTACCCTATATTTTTACATAAATTGTGGTAAAACTACTTGGAGTGAAAGAAATGCACAGGTGTGGATACAAATTTTCGTCGTCTTCTCCTTTGACAAAAATGTAGCTACAAAATAATAACACTTAAGATTAAGGGTAAAAGCCGCAAGCGCCCACGATGAATTGGGAGGGCTTTGGCCAAAGAATCTCCGATGCCAAAGTTAGAACAAAGAATATGTTTAGGAGTTTGTGGGTAGCAAATGACTTAGCTTTTAGTGGGAGAATATGACTATTTATAGGGGAGTGATCGGCCCTATTTGGAGAATAAGGGCAGGCCATATTTTGTCAAATTGTGAGTATAATTGCAAGATATTATGTGAAATAATATCTTGCAATTAACTTGGCAATTAAACCTAAATTGAATAGGAAAATTGGGAGTTACTTTTTGAATAAAGATTTGATGAGGAGTGATGAGAGAGATTTGAATAAATGTCATTTTAATCACCTTTGACTCTTCCTTGATTGAGCCGTTATTGTCCGTTGCATGTGCGTGGGAATCCTGGTGTGCCTCGAGGGTAATTTTATCATTTTACCCAAAAGTCCACATGTCACCTCCATAATTTTCTTGATTATTTTTGTCTTCACAAATGCCCCCACAAATGTTGGGTTGCTCGCAGGAAAGGGCAGCAGGTGTAGAGATCTTCCCTTGCTTTAGGAAATATATGATTGTTTCCTATTTTGATGTAGATTCTCACATTAATTGCAAATTAGATCCTTCTAGGAAAGGGAAATAAATCACTTCCAAAGTCTATTTAAGTCTACCTTAAGTAGATGATTAAATCAACTTCAGATAGTAGTTTAGTCTACCCTACAAGAAGGAGAAAGTTAGAGGATATTTGTTCCTCCTCCCCTAGCAATCTTTTACACTTTCAAGTGCAAAGGATAGTCTTTCATTGCTTTCTTCGTCTTCACACCGCACCAAGGTAAGAAAATTTACTTTTCGTTGTCTTCTTAATTTTTTGGAGCCTCGGGGCTTGAAATTTGGCTCGACAGGTGTCAATGATGTGTCAAAAAGTGGCTTGGAGGGGCCACGACATTGTTGCTGTGCGTGGCTTGGTGTGGCGGTGGCTTGGCATGGGTAGAGATCTGGGTGCGACAACGTGGGCTAAGAGTGACGATGGTATGCCACCATTGTATCACCAAGGTGGGTTTTTGAGTAAAGTGGGCTACTTCAAGGCTGCTCATTTCAAAATTAATTCCAATGACTCTTTCAGAGATTTCCTTAAAGCGTATAAGCACGCCATACCATCTGGGGTGTGTGTGAAGCATGTCAAGGAGGGTAGTAGCCGTGAGCCATGTAGTGGGGTTCAGAGAGCCATCAAATTTCACCCTTACTACTTTGTGTTAGGATTTACTTTTCCTATGCAGTGTTTATTCCAAGAAGTGCTTTGATCCATGAAGTGTGCCCCCGCTCAATGTTCTCCAAATGCGGTTCGTGTGATGGTGGGATTCCTCATTCTAAGCCAATTCTTTGACTTGGATCTAATCGTCAATGAATTATGGTACTTCTTTGACATAGGCCATATTGATGGAGTTGGGCAGTTGCGATCCTGCCATAGGTTATTTGATCATTTGAGCAAGGGAGATCATGACCAAGCCAATGAGACTTTGGACATAAGTGGAGAGTGGGAGTCTGATTTTCCCCTGAGATGCACATTCCGACAATTTTCCGGTAAGTTGACTGCTTAGTTTCTAGGCTACTTCGTGCTTTTGCTGAGCTGCTCTCTGATTTATTGATTGTCCTTCTCTGCTTATGTAGATTTGGAATTTGGCTCAATTCCCAATACTTCTCTAGATATGAAAAAGGTGCATGTTGCTCTAGGTATCCCTGCTGAGTACAGTGAGTGGCGTTGGCTACCTAGTCTTCTTCGCCAGGAGAAAGGTAGACTGCCCCCGATAAAGGAGATAAAGCGGATCAAGGCAAAGGCATTAGCTTGTCTAATCACTGTCGTAGAGCTTGCTGTGAATGAAGGTGGAAAGAAGAGATCTTCCTTGCTTACTCAAGAGATGTCGGCTGAGAAACAGCCGAAGACTTCCTCTGCTGCTCGTGAGGGTCCGCCTGCTACCAGTAGGCTAGTGATTAACTTGGTTTATTCCAAAGGGAAGAAAGATAAGGCTGCAAGATCTTAGCCAATGACGCCTGCCATGCCAAAGGTAGCTAGTACAATTGTTAATTGTTGATTGGATTGCTCAGCTTAGAGGTTCCGTTGTGCTCCCATTGCCAAAATTTATGCCAAGACGTCCGTTGGGAGCTAAGTCTGATTCACCTTCGAAGAGGCTTGCTACTATGAAAAGCGATAAGGTGGACGCCGCTGCTAAAATGGCGCCAAGGCCTGTTTCTCTTGCTATTGAGACCGGTTCGCCTGTTAAGAACACTACTAGGAAACTAGTTATTAGTGGGCATTTTGAAAATTGACAAAAAACATATATTACTGTCGGATTTTAAGCAAAATCCGACAGAAAATGGATGCAGTAGCGGATATAATAAGCGACAGAATTGCCTGCGTCAGGAAATTAATTTTTCGACAGAAAATACTCTAAAACCAACAGAAATTGTGTCGGATATAACCGACAGAAGGTATTTCTGTTGGCTAAAACCGATAGAAAATGATTATACCATCCGACAGAAATTAATTAAAAATGCATAAATAAAACCATTTCCTGTCGGCTAAAACCAACAGGAATAAATTAATAATGAACAAATAAAAGCATTTCCTGTCGGATAAAACCGACATGAATTATATTAATAATAAAAAAAATTTAAATCACTTTCTGCATTTTCCATATCCCCGCATTCACCATCCAACCGTGCCGGAGCTCAATCTCACAGGTGACTGTCAAGGTGTTGGAGATATGCCTTGAAAGTCAATCTTTGGAAGAAACCTTTCAGGACAATGAATGGATGTATGGATGATTCTTATACATCAAATGGCAAAGATACTAATTAGGACTATCTCTATAAACGATATATGTCATAAATAGTGAATCCATGGACAATGGATTGATGGAAGAAGTAATCTAATGATGTTAGACTACAGAGACCTTTTTCCCATAACCATCATGTCCAAAAAGGTTCTTGGTCATAAGATTGTCGGAGGGATACTGACAATGCATAGACCGGTACATACTATGTCTGCTTCAATTAGAAGGATGGAAAGTCTCATCCCATTCCTGTAGTGACACTAAGACAAGTATGTAGGTGCTCATTAAGGGAATGAGTTCACTGAACACAATCGAACGAGAGTACTTGCATGGAGGTTTACTCACATGTCAAGCAAGTAACTCTAATGGTTGGAATACTGTAAGTAGTCATTTGACCTGAGGCATCATCGTTGTCTTGTGGTTAAGTACTTGATCTTTGATTATGTCAAAGTCACTCCATCCGCGGGTGTCCACGGCATAGTCGGGGTTAAGCCACTTAGTCATGAAGGCAAGTGAATGTTCAACAAGGAATCTCTAATCCTCGTTATGAGAGGATGAATACTCTAAGATACGATTCGGGAATCTTCGGCCGAAGTATCGAGCGTAATAAAGGAAAGCGTTCCTATACGACTCAATTGAATCATATAACATGGAATAATCACATTAGGGGTTTGACATATTATATCCATACCCTAGTGATGTGATTGAGAGTATTGTTTTAGAGAATGATCGAATTGCATTGTAATTCCAACTGAATAGGTTCTCCGAACAACTTCTACATTAGCTTGGGTAGCCATGATATATGGTTAGATGTCACTCATGGCTTGTGAGTTCTTCTAGATGATTAAATGTAGTCATCAAAGAAGAAGGTGAATTAAAAGTAAGTTTTAATTCAGTAAGTGATTGGATTAAATATAATCAATTGGATTGGTCCCAATCACCTCACTGCCTTGCTAATTAGAACCTAAAACGATTGTTCACCAATACACTCTTGTAGTGAGTAAGTAATGGATGATGGAAATAATTAATTGGATTAATTAAGTGTTGTGATTAATTAGAAAGTCTAAAGAAATCATAAAAGCGATATAAGATCGTTTTGGGCTTAAAGAAACATTCGGGTTTAATTGGGCCCATTGGGCCTAAACCCATTGGGCTTTTATTCAAGCTTTGGATGACTTGAAATAAATAAAAGCCCAAAAGCCCAAAAGCCCAAACAACACTAAGGGGGCTGGCCATATAGAGTGAAAAGGAGAGATAGGAAGTCAAGTTGTTGGCTAGGTTTCTTTGTGTTAGAAAATGAACTTTATACTGAAAAAGTTCATTAGGGTTTTGTGTGTTGTTTTTCACAAAAAGAAGAAACCATCTCTCTCTCTCAAAAACTCACACAAGGCCGCCCACCATAGGGGTGATTTAACTAATCATCTTCTCACCCTTTTGGTTATTCCTTCATCCTTCTCACTACATTAGTGGGTGAGGATCTTTAGAGGTTTTCAACTTTGGAAACTTGAAGAGAACCTAGGAGCACTCATTCTAAACAAAGTGGAGGAGGCAAGGAAGGAGGCTAGGCTCAAGGAGTTCAAGGAGCAAAGGTCTTGGAGGTGGTCCATCCTTGGTCTAAGATCTAGATCAAGAGGCATAAAACTACTCCTAAACTTTGTTCTTATATATAAATTTGTTTTGGATGCATCTTACATAAACCTATGCATCTTGAAGGGGATTTGCATGACTAGAGCTTTGATATTATTTGATAACATGCTTCCGTTGCTTTCGTATATAAATCTTGAATT